TAAAAGAATTGAAGTCCTCATTAATGACTCTTGAATTGGTGACATGTTCCATCAGGGCATGTCTGCTGATTCTTGCTCAAGGGAGAGGATGTCATTGATTTACCCTTTATGAAGGACACAGTTCAAATGAGATTTTGTTATACCCTTTCCAAGTCAGCATAGAGTTAAGCTCTGCTATCTTTGTTCAGTATTAGGGACCAAAGCCAGGATTTCATGTGTAAAGCAAGTGATCTAATATGTTCCCAGCCACAAGGCTGTGGAAAAATATGAAAGCGTTCAAAAAGTCACATGGTGAGGTGAAAGCAGCCTGCCATAATTAGTTGATTAATCATTGCCAGCCCCTTGTCCTATGCTGATACATGGGTAAGGCATGCCCAGGCTACTGATTACATCTAAGCCAGGATTCCTTTGTAGCCATCACCCGAAGGGCACAGTGACCACAGAGGTCCACCTCGAGTTACTGCCTTTTGCAAAGTGATAATCAGGAGCACAGCCAGGTGTAATTCAAGCACGTCTTCCTATGGGTATGGATGGTCACTGCTGCTCCCTTGTAGCTGGATTGCTTTCAGTCTTAGTGGGAATCTTTATGAAACAGAAACCTAATTCCACTTAGGTAATAATATGCCCACTCAACCTTCTTTCCCAGATTCAGCCTGAGCTTCAAACTATAGGGGGGGCGGTGGCGGGGGAACTGGCAGAGATTACTCTCTGAATATGGATATCTCAGCAGACAATGAAGAGTTAGGAAAGACTTGCATTGTTAACCCATTCTGGAGCCTTTATCTCAGTGAAAGACAATGTCACCCGGCCAGGGAACTTGGCATTGGTTTCAGTGTATCAGCCTGGAACTAGGGAATGAGGAGAGCTTGTATGCCAGTCTTGTTGTCTTTTGTTTGTTTGTTTTGCTTGCTTGTTTTTCAAGACAGGGTTTCTCTGTATAACATCCTTGGCTGTCCTGGAACTTGCCCTGTAGACCAGGCTGGCTTAAACTCACAGAGATCCACTTGCGTTTGCCTCCCAAGTGCTGGGATTAAAGGCGTGCGCCACCACCACCCAGCATGTATGCCAGTCTTAAACCAAGAGTATTGCCATTCACTTCAACTTCCCCTTTTCTTTTCTTTTTTTATCCTTATTTTTTCTAGTTGAACAAAAATGTGATTACATCACCCTCTCTTTTGCTTTCCTCTCTCTTAATCCTTCCCCATGTCCTTTCTCTCCACTCGCTTCTATATGGCCCCTCCCCCTTTTACTTTAATATTGCTACATATACACACAAAGATATATAAATACAACCTGTTGAGTCTGTTTAGTGTTACTTGTACATATGTGACTTTAGGCTGACCATATGTGTATTTTATAACCAATTAGAAACTCATCCCTGGCTCAGAAGTTGTAGTTGCCTGTAGTTCTTTGTCTAGAGATGGGACCTCTTGATGCTTCTCTTACTATGTCAGCATGTGCATTAGCACTGTCGTTGTTTGGGTCTTTAAAACAAAGCTTTATTGTATGTGTGTGTGTGTGTGTCACATGTAGGGAGTGGTGCCAGTAGAGGTCAGGTGTATGTACAGGTCCACTCCCCTGAAGCTTGAGTTACAGCTGGTTGAGAGCTGCCTGCTGTGGGTGCTGGAAACCAAACTCCAGTCCTCTGCAAGGGCAGCTAGCTCTCTTAAATGCTCTCCAGTCCAAACGCTATTTTGTTCTATCTTTGTTGTTGTTACAGGTTCCTCTATGTAGTTAACAGTTATAGGAATAGTTTATGGGAACAAAAAATGATTTCTAAGGCTATGCCAATCACCTTCCCTTCTGCCAGTTCACAAAGTCCCATCTCTCTAAAGTCAAATGATGTTAAGACTGCGGTTGACTGGGTGCTAGTGATACCTGGGGTTTTTGATGGTGGGTTAGTTGGCTTTTGTAACTGGAGGAAACTATAAGATAATCACCTTCAAAAGAGAAACATGTCTTTTGGTTCATGGCTTTCTAGTCCATGCTCATTTGATTCTGTTGGTTTGGGTGTACGGTCAGACATAACAGAAATACATATTGGTGACTGAGAAACAAGACAGAAGGAAGAGTCAGGGTCCCAATATCCCCTTCTGTGGGGGGGGCCTTGCAAGCGTCATGGCTAGTAGAGAAAAGGTCCATGGAGAGACAAGAATGAAACATGATTCAGTATGACTTTAGTTACCCAACACTGGGTCAGTCTTCTGGGGTCTGACACTAGGTTATTTATTTCAGCTGTATTTAAGCACAGCATGATTTTGGGAGAAAAAAATTCCTAATGATAGTTAACTCAGTCCAGATATACAACAAAGCTTAAGTCATGTTTACATTGAAGCTCTTTACAAAGTACATATGACTTCTTCCATAAAGATGGCTTCTGTTGACTTAGAAGCAATGCTCAAGATAAGAGTCTAGGGAGAATGACTGAGGTAAACACAGTGTCTGTGGGAGTCTGGATTTGGTCTGACTCTAAGACAACAGAGAAGCTACTTAGGCTGTTGTGACATAACTCATAAGGATGGGCTTTATGAACTGAGAAGCAATGATCAGGATTCTGAGAGGAGGGTCTGGGACAAAACACACTCTAATATTCTGGGGTATTTGGTGAAGCCTGGCTCTCCAGATTGCTAAAGATCACCAGGTTGTAAACTACATTCTTTCAGGGTGAAAGACAGGTAGACATTTCCTTTCTTTAAAGAGACAAGCAGAAGAAAACTTTTTAAAGCCCTTAATATCTCTAGATGGGAGAAAGGATTTCACATAGACTACATAATATGAAGAAGAGGTTGAGGCAGGAGGATCACTTAAGTCTAAGAGTTGGGGCTCAGCTGTTCTACACTATGCATCTGTCTGTGATGGTACAGAGGTTGTGGATAGCAGTTGCTCAGACGTTATCTCTTAAAAGGGGAATAGAAGGAATCAAAAAGAAACAATTTGGAGATTTAAAATAGAGCTGCAGAAAGGACAGATATGGTAAGAGAGTTGAAAAGGGGCTATCAAACTCAGTAATAAACAAACAAACAAAAAAACTCAGGACACTGTGTTTAATGTGAATTTCAAGTAAGTAATCAGCCCTTTTTAGTATAAGTAGGTCCCATGCAATATTTAGTTTGCCTGAAGTTAAAATCCTCCTGCATATCCTTGGTTTTGTTTTGTTTTTAATCTAGTAACCCAAGATCAAGATGAAAGTTCATGATGAAATTTCCACAAACACATAAAAAGAGAGACAGAAGGATAGATAAGACTCAAAGATCAATTGAGGAAGACCAATATTTGAATAAGAGTTACAGAGAGGAAGAACAGAGGGAGCAAGTTACCAAGGAAACTGTGTGGAAGAGTCTACCCAGAACCACGTTCAAGAGATAGACCACCAGCAGCACTGAAGCAAAGCTTCGGAGCAGCCAGAACACCAAGAGCAAAACACCAGAGGACAGGGCCAGGCAAAAGTCTCTGTGGGACATAGTGGAACCATGACTTCCGGATACACGGGAAACTGTTTTCCATCTGGAATTATTCACCCTGCTGAGAAGAACATAATGTTGATGATTTGAACATAGAACACACACACACACACACACACACACACCTTTAAGAACTCTCAGAAAGCTTTTAGTGGATGTGAGAGGAAGAGAAGGGCTCAGAGGCAGGTGGATAAATATAGAAATAGATAGGGAAATAGAGAAATAAAGAGGGAGATAAAAAGATAGGGACATACAGAGAGGAGAGAGAGAGAGAGAAGGGGAGGGGAGAGGAGAGGAGAGGAGACGAAGGGGGTGTTGTGTTGTATTAGCTAGCTTTATGTCAACTTGGCACTAGCCACTAGCTAGGGTCATAGGAAAGGAGAGAACCTCAACTGAGAAAATGACTCCGACAAAGCATTTTCTTAATTAGTGATTGATGGAGGAAGTCCCAGCCCATTGTGAGTGGGGCCACCCCCTGGGTTGTTGGTTCTGGGTTCTATAAAAAAGGATGTTGAGCGAGCCATGAAGACAAGACAGTGAGCAAGACTCCTTCATGGCCTCTGCATCAGGTCCTGCCTTCCGGTTGCTGCTTGAGTTCCTGTCCTGATTCCATGTGATGTGGAAGCATAAGCCAAATAAACGCTTTCCTCACAGCAACAGTAATCCCGACTAAGAGAGAGAGACAGAAGGAAAGGGGGAATAGAGGGAGAGATAAGAAGACAGAGAAACTGAAACAGAGCCTTGGTAGTTTGAAAGAGCAATGTTCTCCTTAGGCACATGTCTTTGGAGACCTGTTACCAGTGCTGTTTAAGGAGGCTGTGGAACCTTCAGAGTGGTGGTTCTCAGTCTTCCTGATGCTGTGACCCTTTAGCACAGTTCCTCATATGGTGACCCCCCCACCAGAAAATTATTTCATGGCTGCTTCATGACTGTAATTTTGCTACCGTAATGTAAATGACATCTGATATGTGACCCCCAAAGGGGTCGAGACCCCCCAGGTTGAGAACTACCACTTTAGAGAGTGGCGCTTTGCTGGGGGAAGTATGTCACTGGGGGCAGACTTGGAGAGCTTACCGCTGCCCACTCCCAGTGTGTGCTCAGATTCCTATGTCTGGGTGGAAGGACCTCTCGGCTTCCTGCAGCACTGGCTGATGTCGTCATAGTCATACCTCCCCAGCACTGTGGACTCTCTTTCTGGAGCCACATGCCAGAGTCTGCTATCTTTTTCCCTTAACTTGTCTTTGATCACATGTAGGAGGAAACAGTGTGCCACCATTAACCATGTGACTTACTAGAGGCACACACAGATGAGGTAATAAAAGGGCGGTTTACCGCACCACTAACCACACCCACTTTAGGCATGACTAAAGACGTATACAGACAGACATAAAGACATATACATACGTAGGCGGTGAATAACATCGCTAGCCAGGCCCACTTTTGGGCATGGCTAGGGGAGTTATGGAGGAAGGTATAAAAGACTGAACAACGGAAGTCTCGTTCTCTTTTTTCTGGCTTTCCGGCTTCCAGTTCGGCGGTGGCGGAAAAGTACTTGGCTCATCTGGGTTACTTGTTTGTCTCTTGTGAGTAATTTGTACAATGAATACTTACTTTTACTTCAGTAAGTGTGCCGTCCATCATTGCAGCATCAACCACATTTCACCACAGCAACAGAAAAGTAAGTAAAACAGGAGGAGAGGACCAACCTCGTAGATGACGTCAGCGGAGGTTCTGGGCTGGCAGCTGGAGGGCAGGCCTGCAGCGGGACGGAAGGTTGAGATGGGATGCCAGACTGAAAAGGAGGAGGTGGACAGGATGCTCAGAAGCACTGGAATGAAGTTTTCAGTGTGTCAGCATTTGGGAGTGTCTTAGTCACTTCTCTGTCGTGTTTTAAAGGGTATAAATCTTGTCATTAATAAAATATAATAACATTTCCTAGAATAGTACCCTAGACCATGCAGGATTTATTCAGGAATTCCAGAATGAGCCAGTAACAGAAAATATGTTAATGCCATTTATTATATCAATATATTAAGTTTACAAAAATATTATCATGGAAAGTACTTGGTATATTTTTATTATAAACTTTTCTTAATAAAATTTCCTTAACAGTTTTTAAATTATAAAGTTAAACGGATTTTTTACTTTAGTCAGCATCTCTGATCTGGTCCAGGCTGCCCTCATATTCACTACATAGCCTGGGCTTGTCCTTTTGCCTCAGCTTCCCAAGCACCGGGTGCTACCATGTCCCGCTACTATTATATTTTCTAAGCAAATCACAAACAGAAAAAATTGAAAAATATACAAAAGGCTTCTAGTAAATAAAAGTGAATACCATAAACAGCTAGTGGAGAAGAGCAAGATGTGCAGTATTTTACACCTGCATCCTGAGACTGCTTTTCTGTGAAAGTGTGAGAGTTAGGCGGATTATTTCCTGTAGTTCCAATAGCATGAAGAACAGTATGCAGTAGAGGAATGAATCTACATTTCAAACAAAAGCCCCAGGTGGTTATCTTGGGTCCTGTCTCTGTCTCAGTATCTCCGTGTCTGTCTATTTCTGGGTCTCTGTGTTTCTGTCTCTGTCTCTCTGATTCTCTCTCTCTCTCTCTCTCTCTCTCTCTCTCTCTCTCTCTCTCTCTCTCTCTCTCTCTCTCCCTCTGTGTGTGTGTGTGTGTGTGTGTGTGTGTCCTTCCTCAGGCAGAGTCCTGATTTTTGAGACAAGGTCTCCCACCTGGGCTTGGCTAATTAGGCAGACTGGTTTGCCACCGATCTGCATGCCTCTGCCTCCCTGGTGCTGGGATTACAACCACACCTTGCTTTTTATGTGGTTGCTGGGGCTCAAACTCAGGTCCTCATGCTTGCATAGCATGTGCTTTGTCAACTGAGTCATCTTTGTAGACCTTTCTATCGATTTTTCTTGTTTTATTTATTCTCTTTTTCTCTCATTAGCACAAAGGCAAGGACTGCGCTGTTAATCTGGTAAATAGACCTAGACCTTTCTGGTACATAGTTACAGTCCATGCTTTTGACAAAATGAACAAATGGAGCTTGTTGTGATTCAAGCCTCAGTTCACAGGGAACTGCAGAATTTGGTGAGCTGACAACTGGAGCTGTTGGATTCGGCAACATGGCTGCATTACCCATCAGTCCGGACTGTTTAAATGCACAAGAAATCAGGCAGAAATGCGGGGGCAGAAATGGGAGTTGTGGGAAGGGGAGGGGGTGGTCGGAACCTCAAGTTCTTGGGCCACGGCAACACTTAAGGTAGCAATGGAGAAAGTCTCTGGGACAAGGGTGACTCTGAAAGGTGGGGGGGTGACTCCTTGGCACCAGAGAGAAAGAGAGACAGAGACAGAGAGACAGACACAAAGAGAGACAGAGACAGACAGAGTGAGAGACAGAGAGAGACTCAGTTGACTACTCCACAAGCCCAGGCACTGCAAGTAGGATCCATTGCTAGAATGAAGTGTGCTCATCGAAAAGAGAAGTTCAAATAACCTAAACCCAGCTGGTTTCCAGAAGGAACTGGTACAGGGTTTCCACCTGGGAAAGGAACTAGCAAAGTGGCAAGACTGCTGTCAAGATACAAGGCCAGTGAGGAGGGTGGGTAGTGGTGGACTGCAGGTCAGCTCCCAGACATCCAGGCAGCCCCTCATTTCCCGCCATACACAGACACAGCTGGTTGAAAACACTGTCTTCCAGAGTGCTTGCCTCCTGGAGAAATCAAACACTTCCTCGTGGGCACGTGTTTCTAACAGTCGGGCGAGTGTTCGCTGTGTTGCAACGCTATATAATTTCAGTTAGTTAATGACTTCAAGAGTCCACACGCCCTGGCCAGTGTGGCTTATCTCTTATTTAAACATGGAAAGAAAGCGGCTGAATGGTTGAGTTGGTGACGCTGTGTACATACAGGCAGGTGCTCTGTCACGGTTTGCAGCACAACACCCATGCGAAGAAAGAGAAAAGGGAACACAAAATCATTTTAAACAAACAGACTTTAGCTCACAGTGACCAACTGGCCTCGGTTCAACTTAATACCACAGCCGGCAGTTGCAGAAATTACCCTAGAATAAGACACCCTCCCTGATCGAAGACTCAGACCATGCTGCCTTGGACGTCCGTGGTGGAACAGGTTATTGGATAAACCTTACTTTCGCCTTAATCAAACGTCAGATGAGGCTGTACAACCTTGGGTCAGCCCCACTGCTGGGAGCCAAAGACAGGGGCAGCGGTTGAGGCTGGGGCAAGGGTTGTGGAACTCTTAATGGTTTCTAGTAAAGGGCTTCCGGGTTCTTCAGTCTGGGGCTAAAGGCATGTGCCAGTACTGCCTGGCCGACTTTACTAATTTCTAAGGGGTTGCAATTTGTAGTTTGAAAATCATCAAACTCTATCTCAGATAAGCTCATTAAAATTCTTATAACCCTTCTACTCAGGGAACTCTGCTCCTTATTTTATGAAGTTATCAAAGAGCAAAGTGGGGCTGTCTGTCTTTCAGTGCAAGTTGGTGCTTCACGGAGTACATGACCCTGTACTTTCAAATTGTAAATGGGATTTCATATTCCAGTCTTACCCTTCCTCAGCCATGTATGTCTATCCTGTGTTAGGTCTGGGCAAGATCACAAGGAAGCTCTCAGGGTGTGGGCTTGCTACAGCTGCGTGTCCAGCACACCTGCACTCCAGGTAAACAGAAACAATGCACTTTCCTGTTCTCTCTTGGGTCCACGCTTGGGACCTCTAACTTGAGACAGATCAATAAGAGAAAGCAAACAAATTTAGCTATGAGAGTTTCATGTGACACAGGAGATTTCAGAACAAAGACCCAAAGAAAAAAAGCCAATGCGGTTTTCGTTAGTTTTTGTTTTTGAAACAGAATCTCAGCATATAATCCAGATGCCTTCAAACTCACCATCCACCTGCCTCTGCTTGCCAAGCGCTGGAATCACACATGTATGTTGCTAGGTGTGATGAGGAGGTGGTCGTAGAGAAGTGAGGGGAATAAGATGTAGGCAATGAAGTTAGGAGTTAGCAAACCCCGCGTGTTCAAATCACCCGCATGTTCAAATCGTCCTCTGAATCCCGGGGATTGACATTGAAGGACATTTCTTTCCTGGAGGTACAGGAAAGTGCTTCTTAAATGAAAGCTTATAACCTGTTTTGGGGAACAAGGAAAGGAAATGGGTAAACCACCTTCCTGCTATCTGCTCCCACAAATGCCAGGGTGCCACATTCTAAGGTAAAGAGTTCTGATCCCAACCAAAAGCAGTCAGGGGCTCCTCATGGATGGCTCTTCACGGGGGCCTCATGATTAGTATCTTAGTGTTAGTATCTGTCACTGAGCCCAGACTCATAACTCCCTACGGTTTCTTTTATGAAACAAAGGTCCAACACAGTGCTGCTTAAAGGGTGATTTTAGGTGGACTGAGGTAGGAGGATCACTTGTGACCACAAGTTTGAGACCATTGGGGAGAGATTCCCATTTGAAAACTTCTCTTGGTACCTGACCCTGAGCCTGAAGGTCTTGGCACTGAGCTAAGGTCAGCCAGAGCACACCCGCCCCTCCCAGAAGAGGCACCTCCAGTGATTTTTCTTTTAAACTAGCAATCAGACAGACGTGATATTTTGCAAGGCCCTGTTGCTTTTCAAGGGTCTGGAAAACGTCTACATTTTCAGCTTTTCTTCCCCACCTTTCTTCTTTCCTCAGTTCACGTGGTCGCCTTCTGAGCATTTGACTGTGGAGTTCCTCATTGTTGTTCTTTGGGTTAATATCTGAAATGTAAAATGCAATCTTGTTTGGAAAATTAAAAAGGAAATCTAAGGGCAGGTAATGGGGCTTGGGAAGCCACAGGGGGACGAGAGGTGGCAGATACTGGAGGGACTGGAGTCCACTCAGAGTGGCAAATGACTTGAAGTAATTTCAAGACTGAAAAAATAAAGTGGATTTCACTCCCCTAAATCAATTTAACTGTTCAAATGACTATTGCTCCCCCGGTGTTTGTAAAAAAAATATGAAATGAAAGGAAGAAACTCATACAGACTCTCAAAGTTTTCAAAGGCCATTAAATGCACAAAGTCTGTTTGGGTTTTGTCTGATGTAATGAGTCCTGATCCAGCAATTTTACTGTCTATGCAGAAGAATGCCAGGAGAGTTTGCCAATCAAGAGACTGGCTCTAAATGCTATTTCTGCATTCCTTGCTCTTCTGTGGACTCTCTGGGTAGCCACTGACCTCAGTTTCCCCCTTTTTATGTGGAGGGTAATGCATACATGTACTGACTCTCCACCTCTGTTGTTAGGAGTTAGTGAATGAACATATGAAAACATCTACTAAAAAGTCCATTATGCTCAATATATCATTCATCAGTAGAGTTTATTTTTCCTGAATGGAATTTCTGCAAGCAGGCCAAGATTCAGGACTCAGCAGGAAGTTCCATGACAGCCACAGGAAAGAGGTCAGCACCATGGAACCTTAGGTCTGCATTGAAAGCTAGAATATTTCCACCTGGAACATATGTGCCCCCTGGGGAACAGCTGCAATGTTTGAGCCATTACAGGCCCCACAGACATGTACATGGAGTTATATCCCACTAAACCTGTCATAAGTTGGAAGTATTGCCAAGTTCAAAGTGCATTTAACAAACCCAACCTCTGAACAGTGTGGTTCCTGGTGAAGAGTAGGATCACGGCTGAGTAAGAACCTGGGCTTGCTGATGCCACCAACATCATGAAGGAACATCTCAGGGGAAAGTGCCATTATAGCCATACCATGGCCTGGGGGAAGACCTAAATTCTAAGCATGGCTTCTTGAATGCATAAAGTCCACTCCTAAGTGAAGCACCCTGAGTCAGGGCCTGTTTACAGGGCAGGAGGGAGTGCTATTAGCATCTGGTGGACACAGGCCAGGGATGCTGCTTAACATCCTCCAGTGATTACAAGAGCCAGTTCTCTCCTTCCAAAATAGAAGTCTCAAGGACTCAGCTCAGACCATCAGGCTTGGCAGCAAATGTTCATATCCTCCAGGTCAGCCTATAGGCCCTGTAAGGGTTGTGTCTTAACTAATAGTTCTTTAGACAAATTTAAAAAGAAGTACAATTCAGGCTGGATCCTTCTAGAAAGGCTTATTTTAGTGCAAAGAAGTACACTAAGTTGTGTTGATTCTCCTAGAGTCATGTAAATCAAATCCGAAGGCTTTGGATTCCTGGGAACACAACCCCATTCAGTATCATTTTCAAAAGAATTTTTTTTTCAGACACAGGGTTTCTCTGTGTAGCCTTTGCTGTCTTAGAACTAGTTTGTAGATCAGGCTGGTCTTGAACTCATAGATCTGCCTGCATCTGCTTTCAGAGTGCTGTGATTAAAGGCATGAGCCACCATGGTCCCACTGATTTATCTTTTAAATTCTGAATATATGTGTATGTGGGAATCCATGTGCACGAGAGTACAAGTACCCTCATAGGCCAGAGGCAACAAACGCCCTGGTGCTTTGCACATAAACCTGAGGACCTATGTTTGGATTCCAGCACCCATGTGCAAAAAAACTGGGTCTACAATCCCAGTGTTGGGGAGGCTGCTGGACCCCTGGAGATTCCCATCCAGTCAGTCTTGCCAAATTAGTAAACTGCAGGCCCAGTTAGAGACCCTGTCTCCAAAAATAAGGTAGGGTGTGACTGAGGGAAATAGCCTATGTTGAGGCCTGGCCTCCACGTGTGTAGGTGGGTGCATGTGAAACACAAATACATATGTAGACATTCTCCTCCTTCTATACACAAAAGATAGAAAACTAAACAACCCTCTTAATCTGGGGAGGGCAGCAGAAACCTTCCTCTCTTTACTACTGTCTGAGCAAAACAGCCAGCGTGAGCTATGAACGGTGTGTTGAGAGTTTGGTTGCTATGCCATGGCTGGGTGACAAAAAGCCTCATTATACAGTCCCCTTTGTTACAAGGAAGGAAATTCCAGCAATTTTCATGAAGCCCAAAGATTCCATAGACTATCAAAGCCAGACTGGTCCTCAGATCACAGAACTCGTGTCCCTAGAAAGAACTGTCCGCCGCTGACACACAGTAGCTCTTGAAAAGCTTCCTATTTGACCATGAAACGACAACAACCCTGCTTTTCGAAACACTGGGCCCTCAAGAGGCTGGAATGGACATCAAGAAAGAACTCTGTTTGAGCCACAAAGAGCACCAATGAATGCAAAGACAGGTAGACATAGCTCTGAGCCAGGAACCTAGAGACCAAGCCAGCTTCTTTCCGCCCACGTGACCTCAGACAGTCTCTAAACCCTCTGGGTCCCATCAACAAAATGAGAATGGATGGTGGCAGCTGCTGTGTTCCCCATAAGGCTGAACATCCGAGAAAGCTTCACGAATCACTGACTAAACAACCAGTGTCTTACTGTTCTTGTCAAAAGGTAATGAGAGAATCAAATTGTATCCTAGTAAGGAAATATGTTTATAACCAAATTATTTCCTGAGAACTTCATGTTTCCTGGCATGGTCTTTCATTTCTCTCCTAATACGAAATCTGCCAGGAATCCTATGTTTTCCTGAGGAGAAAATTGCATAGCCACTAAATATATTTTGAAATATTTTATTCCATGACGATCTTCTTTGCCCATCTATCTACCTGTGATCTTTTAGACACTTTTTTTTATTACAAGGGACAAAAATCTATCTACGTCAGTGTAAATATGAGAGCTTATTTAAAAACAAACCCAACCAAACAACAGGTCAATTTACCTGCATTTCACCAGAAGACAGCCTCTGGGTTGCCTGCAGCCAGAGATAACTATGAGAGTGGTCTGTTCTAAAATTGGAAACTTGCTTAAAGTTCATAACATGACTGCAGAGTTTTGTAGACGGCAATGCCATGTTATGTCAAAAGGTTAAACACATCTGGTAGGGTTTGGCAGATGTGGCTGATCTCTGCTTTATCTACTGGGTAGACCATCTAAGATGGTCTCTTTATTTACATAACTGACATATCAGGCAGCAGTGGGCCAGTGACCTCTCCATCCTTGTGGATTGTCTTGCTCCTCCTATGGTCATGGCAGTCTGAGAGTGTGCCCAGATGCCCCATAGCAGATCCTCCACAGGATATTTTGCTTGTGTGGAGATTCTCCAGAATATCGCTTTCACTGTGTTTTATTGGTCAAAGCAGTTACAGGGTCAGTCTCCAGAGGAGTGGTGTGTTAGTCAGCTTCCCACACTGTAGCTAGCACCAGAGGTGATCAGCTTATAAAGAAAAGGTCTGTGTTGGCTCACAGTTCTGCAGATTTCAGCCATGTTCAACTGGCAAGGCAGCAATATCACAGTGGGAGCAGACAAAGATGCTCATCCCACAGCCAGGACCAAAGAGAGAAAGAGAGGCCCCAGTGCCCACTATCTTCTCAAAGGGTACACTTCCAAAAACCCAGACCCTCCTGCTACTCAAAGCTCTGCCACCTCTTAACAGTGCCACCCTGAAGATAGAATACTTAATACTCAGGACTATATACCAAACAACAACAACAAAAAAAAAAGGAAGAAACTACACCAGAGCATGAGTATCAGGAAGCATGGTTCACTGAGCCCACCCATGAAATAGACTATCCTGGAGATAAGTCAGAACCCAGCTGGGATCAACCAAGTTGAACAGGGGAGCCATGAAAATATTCACTTAGCTCTTGATTTAAAGAAACAGCACTTGCAAGTTTGTGTGGTTCTAAAATAGTTCTTGGCTTGGGGGAAGGGGCAGGAGGGCTTGCCTAGCATGTGGGGTCATGCTCAGAACTGCAAAAGAACAATTGTGTCTTGTCATATACCCTGTGATGATTGGCTTCCTAACACTGTGACAAGATAAAAACACCTGGGAAAGTTTGAAGGAGAGAAGGTTTAGTTTGGCTGCTCGCTTCAGGTTGTCTGGGCAGCAAGGGGAGGCAGAGAAGAAATACTCTTCAAAAGTGCTTCAGTCAGGCTCTGCCTCACTCCCCACTACCTCCTTAAGACGTGAGGCCTTGAAGAGGAAGTGCATCACCGGAAGTTGGCTGTGAGGGTTCATATCCTTGGCCCTGCTTTGCTATGGAAGATACAACGTCTCTGATGGGGGAATGTCCTGCTGTTTATATGTTTCTCTGATTGGTTGATGAATAAAACACTGTCTGGCCAATGAGGCAGGAAGGTAGGTGGGACTAGAAGATAAGGAGAATTCTGCGAAAGGCAGGCAGGGGGATCCCACCAAAAGGAGTCGCCATGTAAGGGCCGGAAAGAAAGGACTCACCAGGCATTCTCTGGTAAGATAAGACCATGTGGAAATATATAGATTAATAGAAATGGGTTAATAATTGAGACAGGGCTAGCCAATAAGAAGCCCTAGATAATGGCCAACAATTTATTAATTAATATAACGTCTGTGTGCTTATTTGGGGCTGCGAAGGGCGGCAGGACCCAGCTGGAAAGAAAGGCTCCAGCACCATGTCTCAGCTTCCTTCTCGGGATGCCACGCCTGCTACTTGCTGCCGTGCTTGCCACCATGGTGGACTCGCAACTCTCTGGAACCAGGAGCCAAAATGAATTCTTCGGATCAGGTAACAGAAAAGCATCTACTTCAACCTAACAGTCCACAAAGGGCTGAACCACTTCTTCATAGCTTTAACTCTTTGTGGTGCAGTGACCTCTCAAAAATCTATTATCTAGGAGTTAACTGTCAGTGCACAAGCCTTTGGGAGGGCTTTCTTAGACTGTAACATTCAAAGGTTCAAATTAGAGAACGAGGGCCCTCAACACCCCTAGAATCCTTGTCTGGGAAATTTGAGGATTCTCTCTCCAATTCTATGTCAGAATTGCTAGTTGAAGCCATGCAGAAATAAACCACACGGTGAAGGTTCTGAGGCACTAGTGAGTCCACTAAAGAGTTTGCCTGTGGGTGTTCTTTTCCCCTCTCGTGGCAGCATTTTCCTCACTGCTTTTCCTTCTTTTGTTTCTGAAAGCATTGGTACCACTATGCTGCCTTTTCTTGGCTGTTTTCCCACATGAATAGATTAAGAAACTTTACTCAAAGAAACAGCTTTGGATTTGGTTGGATCTGGATACTTCTTTTATTCTCTTCCCTATTGCCATATTTTAAAAAATGAAAGCAGGTTACTTATAAAGAACAGTAGTTTGTCTCATGGGTCTGGAGGTAGGGACATGCGAGTGTATGGTGCCAGCATCTATTGAGCATTTGAGTACGATGTGACACTACACCAAGTGTGACAGCTCAGGTCTCCTTCCCTTTGCCTTAGCTTCTTCTCCCCCCTACCCCCTGAAACAGGGTTTAACAGCCACAGTTATCCTGGAACTCACTCTGTAGACCAGGCTTGCCTTGAATTCACAGAGATCCATCTGCCTCTGCCTCCCAAGTGCTGGGATTAAAGGTATATGCTGCCACCACCCAGTTTAGCTTCTATTCTGTTGCCATGACAAAACACTATGACCAAGGCAATTTAGAGAAGAAAGTTTAGGCAGTGGTGGGGCATGCCTTTAATCCCAGCCCTCAGGAGGGGAAGGCAGGAGGATCTCTGGAGTTCAAGGCCAGCCTGGTCTACAGAGTGAGTTCCAGGACAGCCTGGGCTACACAGAGGAATCCTGTCTTGGAAAAAAAAAACAAAAAGAGAAGAAGAAGAGGAGGAGGAAGAGGAAGAGGAAGAAGAAGAAGAAGAAGAAGAAGAAGAAGAAGAAGAAGAAGAAGAAGAAGAAGAAGAAGAAGAAGAAGAAGAAGAAGAAGAAGAAGAAGAAGAAGAAAAAGAAAGAGCTTATTGGGACTCAGAGTTAGAGGTTGAGCCGCCCATGACCATCATGTTGGGGAGCATGGCTGCAGGCAGGAATGGCTCTGTAGTAGGATCTGAGTGTTTACATCTGACCCACAAGCACAAGGCAGAGAGACATAAGTGGGAATGGTGTGAGTTTTTGAAACTTCAAAGGCCACCCTCCTCCAAGAAGGTCACACCTCCTAATCCTTCCCAAAAAGTCCCACCAACTAGGGAACAACATTCATATGAGCCTATAGGGGCTGTTCTCATTCAAACCACCACTGCCATCACGGAGAACTCACCATGAACCTAATTCTAGAAGTCACTTCCCAAAGGCCTGGACTCCAAATGCCATTAGCATGGATTATGGGATTGTGTTTACAACATACATTGAAAGGCCTGCAGCCTTGTGTGGTGTCTGTCCTCTGCTCCATAGCTGGGGACAGGTAGCATTTGGCACGGGGACAGAGCTGAGGTGGTGTGATGGTGTGATGCCACATTCAATACGGCTGCTTAGTTAGAGCTTGAAACCTGTGCACCTGTGCTTCTCGATCCTGGCCTAGAAACCAAAGCTCAGGGGTTTTGTTCTAAGGATATTTCTCTTCTGTGGAGAGCTAGCTGTAGTTCATTAGGTCAGTTTCCTGCTACTATAACAAATACCTCAAACAGTCAACTTATAAAGAGGAAGTGTTTGTCTCATGGTTTAGAAGGTTCCCACTCATGGCTGGCAGAAGGGCCCTGCTGTTTGCTTGTGTGGGACACCATGGGGGGGTTGAGGGGTGGGGGTGGGGATGTAGTCAAGCAAGTGTGACCTTATAGCCTGGGGGACCCATTGTTCCCTTCAAATTTCCTCCCTGGTGACATGAAGACCTCCAACAAGGCCCCATCTCATACATGTTCTCCTGTCTCCAAAGAGTCTCAACTAGGGAACCACAGCTTAACAAAAATCATTCGGGGGAGATTTTGGGTACAAATGGCAGGAACCCAGTAGCAACAAAACTTGCTCACCACACAAAAGGAACCACAACCACAGATACATTAATTAACCAAGAGGATGTACCCATCTCTGCATATCGTTATCAGAAACAGTGGTACCCCAGGAGGGCATTCCAAAAGCCTTGAGGTGACAGCCCAAGAGAAGCTCAAGACATTTGCCATTGCCTCTGCCTCCCACGGGAACCCCTGTGGCAGCCCAGTTCCACACTTAGCTTACTGGTGATTGAGGCCTCTGTCCCCTTTCTTTTCCTTCTGATTTCCAAACTTCTCTGTGGCACTTTCAGGCTGTCTGGTTGCTGTACTAAATGCAGTATTCATTTCACGGGGGCTAACTCCCCAGTGCCTGGCACAGAAGGTGGGGGAGCTCCCAGCTCCTGAGTGATGCCTGAAGAGCACCCTGCAAGGAATCACACTCCTTTTGGTATCTCACATTCTGTTCCCAGAGTTTGTCCCTTAGGACTTTTCACTTGTCACAGACCGTATCCAGGGAAAACAAGAGATGACTTTCTTAGAAACAGCTCCGTCAACATTGCCCCCCCTGCCTCCTCTGCCAGAAACTGTGAGGCTGAAAACAACTTCTATCAGAAACTGACATTTAGAAAATATAAAGCCAATTATGGAGCTGGCTGTGAAATGACTGTGGCGAACATTACCGGAGAGCTAGAAGGAGGAATACATGCACATCAGACATGACCTTTAAGACGTAACCTTTGGAAGACAATATTGATAGTAAATAGGCAAGCTCTCACTTTAACCATTTGGTACTTACTGGGCTTCAGATGCATAGTTTCTTCTGTCTTGTAAGACTGTGGGGGAAACCTAGTTAGTTCTTCAGAGAAATGTTTCCCCTTCTGCCTTGCATGTTCGTCTGTCCAGGCGGCTGTGATGAAGAACCACAGACTGGGTGGACAGAAAGAGAGCAGTTTTATCTTCCCACTGTTCACGGGAGGGCCAGAGCCCAGGATCAAGGTGTGATCTCAGCACCACCCCATCTCGTCTCCCCCGCAAATTCTCTCTCTCTCTCTCTCTTTCTCTCTCTCTCCCTCTCTCTCTGTCTCTCTTTTTCTCTCTGTCTCTCTTTCTCTCTCTTTTTCTCTCTGTCTCTCTCTCCCTCTTTCTCCCTCTCTCCCTCTCTCTCTCTCTCTCTCTCTCTCTCTCTCTCTCTCTCTCTCTCTCTCACACACACCCCCACACACACACCCATGCACATCATGTCAGAATTGAAGATGTGTATGCAGTTGGAACCATCTCATGCCAGGATCTCTGGAACTACAGCCCCAAATGAGGAACTGGATTTAATGTTGTTCCTGTAATAAGATTACCCAGTAGTAATGAAGGATATACAGTGGAAACCTATATTTTCACCAGATGATGAAAATTACATATTTTTTCTTTTATGATTCACCTGCATACTGTAATGTGTGTCTTTTTTTAAACAAAAAGATTGACATACTTAATAATGAAAAGTGCTCTATTTCTAAGGATGAGCATATTCTCACTTGGCTATTTTAGTCTCTCATTTGCTTCCCTGAACACTTGACAGGACAGACATATTGCCTTTGTCAGTAAGTTTGCTTATCAGTACATAGACTAGAAATGTAGTGAACTCTGTGCCTCGGATGACAGTGACTGGAAGGATGCAGCTGGCATAGCTCTGGGGGACACATTTCCACGTCACTGGGCTTGCTAGTGCTAGATTTCACTCCAGGTCATAGCTAGACCTTCTATCCTCTCGGATGGAAGACATGTTTTGATAGTCTGAAAGTGGTCAAACATTAGCCGGTGTCCTTTATTTGAAGTGAAGTTGCTTATTTCCACTTTCATTCTTTATAATAATGGGAAAAGGTATCAGTGAGAAATGTATTTTTGCTCTTCTTTTACACCAAGATTTACTTAAATAATTTAGTTTCATAATTGTCCATAATAAATACTCCAGTGTCTGAGGTTTTCATTTCAGGCTACCTAAAAACCTTTCTTATCACATAATGCACAACTGAAGTAAATATCTAATAGTGAATATGCAGACCTATCAAGTTTTACTTAGTGGAATTTTTCTCTTGTGTTTTGGGACTCATGGAGGTTTTTCATAGGCAAGGGCACATCTGAAAATGCCAGAGAAGCACTTTTCTGACTTTATGAAAGTCATATGACTCTCAAGCAGCCTTCCATAAAAAGGAAATTTTGATTTAATATTTAAAAAATATAGACTAAGAGGATGAAGCAATAGCTCAGCAGTTAAGAACACTGGCTGATCTTCCAGAGGACCCAAGCTCTATTCCCAGAACCCACCTGGCAGTTCTCAACCATCTATAGCTCCAATTCCAGAGGATCTGACACCCTCTTGTGGCCTCACAGGCACTCAGCATGACACACAGACACACATGCAGGCAAAATACCATACACATAACATTCAAAAGTAAAAACTATTGGCTGAAGGAGTTTTTTAAGCTTAAATTTAAAATAGGAAAAACATTTAGAGACTCCATTACCAACTCCCTAGAGTTTCCCTTCTAACTTCTTTTTCCTGTAGCCGACCTACAAAATCTCCAAGCTTCCTGTGCAGACTTGCTCCTACAGTAACTGATTCTTTACTTAATTTATTTTCTTTGTAATTAATGAATTAATTTCTCAAACTTCATGCTTTCTAGTCTGAAATAATTATTTCCTCTTGTTTTCTTCCTTTCCTCCCTTCCTCCCCTTCTCTTTCTTTTCTTTATTCCCCCTCTGTCCCCTCTCCTTTCCTCTTTCCCTCTGTCTCCTCCTCTCTCCCTCTGTGCTTCTTCCCTTCTTCATGTCTTTGCTGTATTTTGACCCAGGAGCTTCCTGCAACACAAACACAAATTGAACCACTAACCTATATTCTTCACCCAGGACAATTTTTCTCTAGATTAAAAAAAATAGATAATATGGACAAAGGAGTCAAGACCATGATGGGGAAACCCACAGAATCAGCTGACCCGAGCTAACGAGAGATCACTGACTCGGGTCTGATAAATGGGGAACCTGCATAAGACCGAACTAGACTCCCTTAATATAGGTGACAATGGTGCAGTTGGGACAATGTATGAGGCCACTGGCAGTGGTTCAAAGATCTAACACTAATCCACAAACTGACTAGTGGAGCCCATTCTATATGGAGAGATACCTTGCTCAGCCTAGACACAGGGGTGTGGGTGTGGGGAGGTGCCACAGACTTAGTAGACTTCCTATGGGAGGTCTTACTCTATCTGAGGAGAAGATGGGAGGGAGGAGGGGGGAAGAAAGGGGAGCAGGAGGAGAAGTGAGGAACTGGGATTGGAATGTAAAAAATTAATAAAAACATGTTTAAAAAGAGAATTCTGTGGCAATAGTTCTAGGAAGAAAAAATGTGGAAAATAGCTAATAAATTAAAAAATAGATTTGTTTTGTTGGGACAAGATCTTACTATATGGACTCCTCCTCCTCCTCCTCCTCCTAAAATCAGTCTTCGGGCTGGAGAGATGGCTCAGCTGTTAAAGCCTAGACTCACAACCAAAAATAAAAATCAGACTTCACAAACTGGGTGGTGGTGACCTAAGTCTTTAATCCCAGCACTTGGAAGGTAGAGGCAGGTGTATCTCTGTGAGTTTGAGGCCAGCCTGATCTACAAAGAGAGTTCCAAGACAGCCATCAATACACACAGAGAGAAACCCTGTCTTGAAAAACAAAACAAGAAAACAAAAAATCATACTCCTCAGATTCTGCTAGTCTTGATAGTTCAAATAACTTGTCTTCATATTCTTTCACAGTAAAGGATTTTTGTAACCAAAGGCCTTTTTCTGCCAGACTGCTGTTGCCTGATTTCCCATGTTACAAATTACAGCCCTGTCTCTGATAAGCTGGGGATTGGTCTGGGAGGTTTTCTGAGTTCAAGGCTCTATAGACATGTGGAAAGCTGCCCCCCTTCCCCCCGCCTGAGATGATCTTTTCCCATCAGTCAGGATACTGCAACAAGTTCCACCATGAGCTTTCTTGGATTTGGATCCTTCTATAACTTGTCTGATGGGGTGGTGTGGGGAGATCTTCTTGGATTCACACTCTGTTGATATACTCCTGCTGCTTTCTTCACAGGCTATACTGCTTGGGGTTGCTCCCATTAGGATGCTACACCAGGCTTCGAGTTCTGCGCCCCTAGTGCTTTGCTCCTCTGGGCAGTGGTGGGGACAGGGAAATAGTAGATTGCTTTATCCTTTGCCGCTGTTATGCTCCACTTTCCTCGTTGGCATGCCGAATTCAGCCCTCTTTGGGTTTCCAGCCATATGAAATCTCTCTTTCCTCCACTTTTGCATTATCATCAATAGGTAAGAACAAGCAGAAGAATGAACTTCATGGTGCGGGAGATAAGCACACATATAGACACATATAAAGAAAAAAAAAAGATTAATGAATATGACCCCAAATTCAAAGAAACTCTAGAGTATGTTGGGAGGCCAAACCTAAGAGTCCATGAGATGGAAGAAGGAAATGATGTAAAGTCTAAAGGCTCAGATAACACATTCAATAAAATTATAGCCACAACCTTGAAAAAGAAACCAGTTTCCAAAACCTCCAGAAACAGAGGCATTTGACATATCCAAGATGTCAAAAATAAAAACAAAGGGACTATAACAAAAGTGGTAAGAGGAAATGTGGTGGTTTGAATGGGAATGAAACCCAGAGCTCATATATTTGCATTCCTGATCCCTACTTAGTGGAACTGTTTGGGAAGAATTAGGTGGTGTGACCCTGTTGAAGCAGATGTGCCATTGGGGTGAGCTTTGAAGTTTTAAAAGCCTAAACCAGGCCCAGGCTCCACCCGCATCCCTTCCGGCTGCCTGTGGATAAGATGTAAACTCTCAGGCACTTCCTCAGCATCATGCCTGCCTGCTGTCATGTTCCCACCATGATGGTCATGGACTCCTCCTCTGAAACTGTAAACAAGCTCCCAGTTAAACGCTTTCTTTTATAAGTTTCCTTGGTCATTGTGTCTCTTCACAGCAATAGAACAGTAACTAAGAGGAATGCCAACTCAGCTACAAAGGCAGAAACATGAGAATAATATCAGATCCTTTACCACCAACCCTAGGAGCCAAGAAAGCATAAAATTACCGACCAAGATTGCTGTGTTCAGTAAAAATTATCTCCTAAAATTGATGGAGGCATAAAAACACTTCAAGACAAGGACAGTTCAAGTCAGCAAAGTAAGCCAGCACACCAGAAGACTCCCAAAGGAATATTACACCCAAAGGAAGAAGGAGGGTAATTCAGTCCATGAGAACAGTCAAGAATGCATTTCATGAGACTAGCGGACGAACAGAAGCAGGGCTGGGAAGGAATCAATCATGTCCAAAATAAGAAAGCCCCAAAGCCCTCTTACTGACGGCGAGGAAGAGAACCAGTGACCCAACCAAGCAGAGCAACCAGCAAACTACAGGGGAGCAAACCTCAACAGCAAGCTTGAGTGCAAACAGACTCATGCCACCATCAAGAAAACACAAATTAAATGACTGCTTCATAAAAACTTTAACTCAGTGTTGTCCCTAAGACACACACATAATGAGCAAAGACAGAAAAGTTGGAAGCCAGCTGTCCAAACAAATAGCAGAGACTCTCATATGTAATTACATAGGCCTCAAATAGCTTCTAGAAGTATAAAACTGCCCTACATATTAATTAAGGCAATAAATTCAGACAGACCTAACTTTTATACATAGGAGGCAGAAGCCAAAAGATTCCTGTGAGTTTAAGGCCAGCCTGATCTACACATTGAGTTCCAGGCAACCAGGGCTACAGTGAGACCTCTCTCGCCCTGCTCCCCACCCCTACCCTGAAAAAAGAAAGAACCACAGAACCATCTTCCCTGGTCTTCCAGGACATATTTTCAAGCTGTTATGCATTCTTAGCCCTCAGGGAAATGGGGAGATGCAAATTAAACTGCCTCAAATCTTAGCCCTGTCAGAATGGCTGCATACCACTGAGAACACAAATGCTGGTGTGGAGAGAGAGAAACCGTTTCTACAAGCCGGTGCAGCCACTGTGAAATTAGTGTGGAGGCCTTTCAAAATCTAATGGCTGCTGGACGGCCCAGCTCTATCACTCCTGAACACAAAACCCAAGAACTCTATGCACTGTGATAGAGGCTTATACATTCATGTTTATTGGTGTTCAATTCACCATAGCAAGGAAATAGAACCAGCCTATGTGTCCATAAACTGGTAAGTGGATAATGAAAACGTTGTATGTAGCACAATAGAGTTCTACTCAGCCATAAGAGAAAATGAAATTATGGAATTTGCAGGAATATTGATGGATCTGTAAATTATTTTAGCAAGTGAGGTGTCCCAGACCTTCAGAAAAACAATACTGCACTTTTGTTCTCCGAGGCAGACCCTAGCTTGTAATTGTCACATACGTGTGTTTATGGAGGACTGGATTTAGATGTATGTCAGGAAGCTAGAAGGAGGAGCCCAGGAGGGGAAAGAGGTTTTAAGGAAAAGGTGGGGAGGGTAATAGAACACCGGCAGCATGGAGTGGAAGGACGAGTCTGCATACAAGGAGGGGCAGGAAACTGAATAGGAAGAACGCGAGAGTGGATAAAGCAAAGTATATATGAAAATGTGACAATGAAGTATGCTACTTCGTATGCTAACAGGAAAGTGGAGAGCTTCCCTGTCTCCATTCTGTTTTAGACTCAGCTACCTCATTATCAGCCTGCCGGCTTCCCATTAACGACACAGAACAAAAGTACCAAATTCTTCATGATCCAGCTTCAGTCTACGCAACCTCTCGCTTGGGGAGACTAGGGAGCAATGTTACCTCTTAGGAAAGTAGGGGCTAAGAGTGAATGCGTGTTGTTTTATTTGTGATTTTGTGGTGTTGTGGGTGGAATCTGGGGTCTTTAGCACGTGTTCTACCACTGGGTCATAGCCACACTCAAGAAGTACGGAGGGTCAGGGAAGGTTGTATAGAAATTCTGGTAAGCTCCCGGGCGGACTAAAAGTATCTTTATGTTTCAACTTAGTTATTGCTGCCTCCCTCCCCCGCCCCTTACACAACTCCAGAGCGTCAGCTCATTTCCAGCAGTTTCCAGTGGGTTCTGTGCTCCATTCTTTCGTTAACACATTCTTCCTGGCACTAAATATGCCAGTGTTTGAGTAGGAATTAAAATATTTTCAACAAATATAAATTCAAATATCACCATGTGAGTTCTGGTGAAATATGCAAATTAAACAATGATGTCAGTGATCTCTCCTAAAAATAACTCTTCAGTGACAGCAAGTGCTTTGTAAAAGGCATAATAAAGTTGCAAAATCAAAAAGAACAGGAGCAAAAAAGCCAAGAGGCATCAGAAAACTGGAAAAGGAAGCTGCTCATGACAGTTTTATGACACGCTTTCTCTTTCCTCACCACTGGAGAGCGGGCTGCCCTGTGGACTGGAAGGCAGCCCTGTGCCCACCAAATGCCAGCACTCCCTTCACAGGTTTGATAACATTTGCCAAATGTTCCCTGGGGGACATGGAATTACCTCCAGTTGGAAACCACTACTTACGGACTGTAAAGTATCCCTAAGGACAGTCCCCACACAGCCTTATTCTGGTCACCTCATCCCTCTCACACATGAGAAGCCCCAGAATTGGAGATACTAGGCAAAGAAACAGGATGGCCTGAAAATCTGTCTAAGATGCACACTGGCTCTTCCTCAGCTCCTCTGTTAGAGTCATCCTTTGGGCTCCAGGACTGCCTGCAGGACAACTGAGAGCAATTGAAGTTCGCACTGCAAGCATTAAGTGAGACTTCATGCAGATGGGATCCTTGGCCCTTGTTCACCTCAGCTCCGGACACACGTGCATCCAGGTATACATTTTCCTTGCAGGAGGTTGGAGAGGTTGTCTAATTAAAGCTAACCAAAGTGGGCAGTGAGATGGCTCAGAGGGCAGATGTACTTGCTGCACATGCCTGGTAACCTGTATTAAATCTCCAGAACCCACATCAGGGTGGAAGGAGAGAACAGACCCATAGGAAGTTGTCTTCATATTTCCTGTGTGCTCTGGTGTGTGGGCTTACACGGGCACACCTGGCATACACATGCACATGTTAATAAGTAAATATTTTATAGGATATTTTAAAAACTGAAGAAGCCATGAAAAGAGAAAAAAAGTCTGTTGTTTGAATTTAGTACATTGACCCTCCCCAAATCATCCAAAAACTCAACCAGTGATCCTTCCTTCTCCACTTCACCCAGACCTTCTAATCAAAGACTTTCTGGGGAAAGCCTACAGCATGAAAGAAAAAGAGAAAAAAAGAAGGAGTGGGCTGGCTCACTGGATAAAGGTGCTTGCATGCAAATACTACAACCTGGGTTCAATACCCAGAACCCACATGAGCGAGGGAAGAGGTAACTGACTCTACTCTGCCCTTCACACACGTGCTACAGCAGATAAACACAAGCACACACTTTTAAAATTAAAAACTACTAAGGAAAGAAGAAACAGAAAACTGAAATACTGTGGGAGCTGATGGAAGCCACAAGTTTAAATGAAGCTTCAGGCATCAGTTACTTGTCTCGTTACTGCAACAACACACTCGCCTAAAGAAACTTAAGGAAGGGTTGCATGGGGTTCACTGTTGGCGGGTACCATCCGTCCTGGTGGGGAAGCTTCAGGAGGTTGGTCACATTTATCCGCATCCAGGAAGCAGAGCCGGGTGAAGGCACACACTCAACTGGCTTTTCTCCTTTTTATGAAGTCCAGAACCCCAAGTCTATGGGATGACAATGCCCAGACTTAGGTTGTTTTCCCAACTCAGTTAAATATAGTTGAATCTTCACAGATATGCTAAGAAGCTTGTTTCTATGGTGATTCTAGATGCCATCAAGATGGCAATTAAATTTAACCATCACTTGTCCCTTCCCTCAACTTGTTTTTTAAATGCTGTTCTTCTTGGGTAAGGGACGGGGAAATGGTCTCTTGCTCTGCAAGATAAATGTGCTAAGTAAATGAGGAGGCCATGAAGAATACTGGGGTCTCACGAATGGATGACCCACAAATTGAGAAAAATTTCAACATTAAAAAAAAGAATGGTGGGGGGCTAGAGAGATGGCTCAGTGGGTAAGAGCACTTGCTGCTTTTCCAGGGCCCAAGTTCAGATCTAGCACCCACATCAGGCAGCTCGTTATCTCTGTAGCAGCAGCTTGGTGGGATTCAGTGCCCTCTTCCAGGCTCCACAGGCTCCTGTGCTCATGTATAGCAATACACCCACATGCACATGAATAAATAATAAAACAAACTCGTTTTAAACCAAGAATGTGAGAATTGTTTATTAACATAGGTTTCCATGAGTCCACACTGAGATAAATGAAGCAGAGGAAGAAATAAGGGGAGAGGTGAGTTCTTCTTTACTTAGCAATCCAGTCCCTGGCACTTGGAAGAGAAGAGGTTCCAGGGGATGCCTGAAAGGTTCAGGCATTACTCTGGCCTGCCCTGTTACCTGGCAGGATGCACTCAGGCAACACTCTGGCCAGCCCAGAGTTACGTGAGAATCAGGCAGGTGCAAAGACCCCTTTAAAGGACTAACCCCTGCCCGTTTACATGCTCTTGCTCTTACTCTTACTCTTTCCCTCTTACACTCTTACTCTCATCTTCTCTCTCTCTCTCTCTCTCTCTCTCTCTCTCTCTCTCTCTCTCTCTCTCTCTCTCTCTCATATCTTATATCTCTCTGTGCTCTGCATGGGTTGGTTACCTCTCACCCCCCTTTTCCCTCCCCATCCACCAATAAACTCCACCTGGGATAGTTGAGTCGCGGTTTGTGTCTCCTTACTGGATAAACCTAAACATTTTAACAACAATGCCGAGTTTGGTGTGGGAGGTCTGGCATTGGTAACAGGTATTGGTGAAATATCAGACTACTTCTGTACAAGATACCAATCTCATACTGGTGTTTTCTCTGATAACTATATATAGAGAACAAATACAAACAAACAAACAAAAAACAAACCCTGGAAGATACAAAGCATGTGACCACAGTAGACTTTGTCTCTGTGATGGTATGCAGGAGAGCTAGAAACATTGTAGCATTCCTTTCAGGCGTCTGAAGTGTTGGCTCCCGTGGCGATCAGGGGAGCACTGAACACACCAAGCAGACAATCATTCTCCCTGATGAAAGACTTGGGCTCAATAGCTATCAGGTAGGAAATACCTGCAGAGCCATTCCACACTTCCGTCTGCGCAATGTTTGACTCCCTGTGAGACTCCTACACTTTAAGGGTCTAGTAAAGACAACCTATGACTAGCACAGCAGCTCTGCGTCATGTTTATTCTTGGTTGAATTTTATTGCATTAGTTACTTTTTCCTCTGCTGTGAAAAAATACTGGAGAGAGTCTACAAGGAGGAAGGATTTTGGCTCACAGTTTTAGAGGCTCTCATAGCAGTGGGGTCATGACAGAGTCGTATGGCAGAGTGAAGCAGCTCATCTTAAAGTGAACAAGGAGTAGACGGACACACAGGATCCTGAGCAAGAGCTATATATACACCCCCAGCGACCTACTTCTTCCCACCCAGCCCCACGCTGACTTTCCACCACCTCCTGAGGTCTCCGGGTTCTGAATCCATAGTGGCTCTGTCATTGACCAAAACCCTTAATCACCCCTCCAAAGTCTACCATCTGGAAACCAGGTTTTAAGACATGAGCCTGGAAGGAGACGGGTGGGGCACACTTAACAATTGTTTTACGTGGTGTAGAAACTGAACCCCGGATTCCCAAAGGTTGTAATTCAGCAACATCCCCAACCCTTGGTTGAGTTCTAAATAGTCCATTGTTGATCTTCAAATTTTGTTTTTTGTTTGTAGGGAATTAAAGGAGATATAATGGGTCCAGTGTCTCTGCATTTTAAAGTTTTAAAATTTTTATTTTATGTGTACAGGTGTTTTATCTGTGTATCATGTGCAGTCAGTGGCTACCCTGGGAATTGAGTTAGAGATGGTTTTGAGCCACCATGTAAGTACTTGGCATCAAGCCCGGGTCCTCAGAAAGAGCAGCCAGTGTTCCTAGCTACTGAGTCATCCATCTCTACAGCCCTTACCTCTGCATTTTAGAAGGTTTTAGTGTGGCACTAATTTTTGACAAGTCCTCTGTGACACAATATTTTAATTCCCCACCCCTCTGTGCATGCAAGTGTGTGTGTGTGTGTGTGTGTGTGTGTGTGTGTGTGTGTGTGTGTGTGTTTCAGAGTCTTGGCTATTTTCTGTCTGGCAGGTTTTACCCCACAGACCAAGGAAAGTCTTCAGAAACCAGGAAATGCTATGGGTGGCTCTGCAGATTTAACAGACTCATTGTCACCTGAAACAGGACTTCATTCATTGCCATGTCCCCACCTATCCCCACCACAAACAAATACGCACGTATTTGTAAAACCAGGTGCCTAGAACAAACTGTAAATACAAGACCCCTTGCTTTAACAGTATTAACAAGTTCAAGGGGGCAAATGGAAGACCAAGAACTAAACCACTATTAGCACCTTGTAAAGATGAAGTCACCATTAACTCTGTGCCCAGCAGTCCTCAGCATATAGAGTTACCCTGGGAAATCATTGTGTGAGCTTTTTCACCCCGGCCTCTTTATGTTGATGGGTTCTAGTTACCCAAGCCTCGTTCAGTTCTTGAAAGTGACAAGTCATCCCATTTTTGCCCTCTCCCTTCCTTCTTGATGTTCTTTTTATTGTGCATAGATTAAACCATATCTTTTTTATTTTATTATTTTTTGGGGGGCTACTCATGTCGTTTTTTTGCTAACCATCTCTGTACTTCTCTCCAAGTGAGGCTCCTCAGTAGCTGCTCCAGCCTTATGATAATAGCATCCACTTGGCCCTTACTGATTAAGCACTAACCTGCCCCCCATTTATATGTGTGTGGGGTGGGAGCAGCGAGGACATCATCTATGCTCTCTATTTCTATTGGTGTGCTCAGCTCTTCGTCCCTGGCCTATAAAGGGGAACTGTCACGAACTCAAAGGGATGTTGGTGCACCTGTCACAGTGTATTCACTGTTGCTTTGTCATAGCATGTACATTCCGGACGCTTTCCCAGGAGCTGTGCCTTGACACTGTACACGCTCCAGCCTGTACACACTGTACGCTCCGGATCCTGTCCCAGGAGCTGTGCCTTGCACACACTGTACACGCCCCAGCCTGTCCACACTGTATGCTCCGGATCCTCTCCCAGGAGCTGTGCCTTGCACACACTGTACACACCCCAGCCTGTCCACACTGTATGCTCCGGATCCTCTCCCAGGAGCTGTGCCTTGCACACACTGTACACGCCCCAGCCTGTCCACACTGTATGCTCCGGATCCTCTCCCAGGAGCTGTGCCTTGCACACACTGTACACGCCCCAGCCTGTCCACACTGTATGCTCCGGATCCTCACTCTAGCCTGCCTACTTCTCTGAACCTTATAATCTGCCACTTGCCAAAGCAGCACTGGCATTTCTTCCTCGCTTTGCGAGGCCCCCTGCTTCCTTGGCTTCTGGAGCCTTCCTATCAGCGCGTTTGCACTGTCTGCTGGGTGTCTCGCTAGAGTGCTACATCTAGTATTCCATGAGAGCATTCCCAACTGTTGCCTGGGAATGTTGTCTCGCTAGAGTACTGAATCCTGCATCCCTTGACGGTGTTCCCACTAAACAAGCCCCTTCTTGTGGACAGAAGCGCTCTGCCAGCTCCCTTCCATCTGTCATGATCAGAGCTCCTGTCCTGTGCACTTCTCCCCGGGCACTGCCAGTATCTGCTGGCACATTCTTACAGTTTCCTTTGTGTCTGGTGCCTTTCTCTCTCAGCTGAGTCATGGTGTGACCCCAGGGCGGGTCCAGTGCCAGGTTAGGAGGGCAGGGTTGATCAGAGGGAGCCAGTGTTGTTTTGTAGCAGGAGAGACACTTTATTTATTTATTTATCTTTCTTCAGGAACGGAGCATTATCCCAGACTAAGAGACAGGAGGGATTAGTTCCTCCAGCTCAGTCCTGTAGCGCCCCATCTAGATGCCCCCTTTCCTGTTTCCAGGCTTCTCTTTGTCGCCTAGGACTGCGTGGCTGGTTTTTGTGTTAACTTGACACGAGCTAGAGTCATCTGAGAAGAGGAAAAGCCTCAGTTGAGAAAGCACCTCCATAAGATCAGGCTGTAGGCAGGCCTGCTGGGCTTAACCAGTCATTGACATGCGAGGGCCCCGCCTATTGTGGGTGGGGCCACCCCTGGGCAGGTAGCCCTGGGTGCTGTAAGAAAGCAGGCTGAGGAAACCGTGAGGAGCAAGTCAGTGAGCAGCTCGCCTCCATTAGCTCCTGCCTCCAGGTCCCCAACCTGACTTCATTCAATGATGAACAGTGACAAGGACTCATAGGCAGTACAAACCCTTTCCTTCCCAACTTGCTTTCAGTAATGGTGTTTCACCGCAGCACTCATAACCCTGATCTTGGCATAGTTAAGTCTGCCTAGTTTGAGAGATTAACTTTTGTTCCTGTATTGGGGTTGGAACTCATGATAAGCAAATGTTCTACCACTTAACTATGTCTCCATCTCTCTTTGCCTCTTCTTTCTTTCTTTCTTTCTTTCTTTCTTTCTTTCTTCCTTCCTTTCTTTCTTTTTTTGAAACAGGGACTCATGTAGCTCATGTTGACCTCAACATGTATGTATCTGAGAATGCCTGCCTTCCTCCGCCTCCCAGGTGCTGGGTTATTAACACGTACCCTCATGCCGGACATGCTTGTTGTTTGTTTTCTTTTTCTTTTTGGGACAGACTCACACTATGTTGCTTAGGGTAGCCTTGAGCTCACCAGGAAGGACTTGAACTTGAGACCTTTCTGTCTTAGTCTCCCGGGCAGCTGGGGTATGGGCTTGTGCCCAAGCCTCACTGATTGCCCTGCTGCTGTTGCTTTGCTACTTTTCGCCCGCTGTGTTTATCGCTAATATTGCTCCTTTTGGCCACCACACTCCTGACCCATTTCCTCAGGGCCAGGTCAAAGCCTAACCTGCTCTGTCTGCTGTCTTAACAGAAAGCAACCAGTTCCAGAGATCCAGGGAAAGAGGGAGAGACGGAACCAACAGTATTGTCCAGGTTCTACCCAGAGTCTGGCCAGGGAAGGGAGCCACAGAATCCAACCAGGGTTGGTGGTCTCACAGTGCCAGAACCTGAGTAAATGGGTGGGAAGGAGCTAGGAAGGCAAGCCAGAGGCTTTGTAAGCCATCCCAGGCTGTGCTGGACCCAGAATAACTGACTTCAAAGGAAAGAGGAAAACTGGGGAGGCAGCCTGAGACTGTTTTA